ACCTTTTTAATAAACTTTTTCTTTCTTGGTATATTCACTCGTCTAATACCCATAGAACAGAAACTCTAATTACAGTTCCAATGCTGAAGGCTGACCACTAATTATCTATATATATCTTCATTAGATGTGGTTTCTGGGTAAAAGGCTGGGTCTGAATTACAGAAGGTGGACTGAAAACTCAGAGAATGTACTCTCAACGCGATACGAGGTAGAACTAATTAGATCATATTAATGGCATTAAAAACTTGGTTTCCACTGCAGAGGCACGATGATCTGGCGCAGGGGCAGGCAATTATTTTAGGAGGAGGATTGCTTAATGAGGTTTGGTCAGCTATCAAGGTAGCCGTGTCCCTTGACAGTTGCCCCAACCCCTGGTCATCGTCTTAGGGCTGGAAGTCCCACCCCTAACCCCTGACTTTTGCTACCAGAAGTCCCTCCCCTTGCCCCCAGATACACACCTTTTGAGGTGGGGGGGTTGCCATCTTAGAACCAGAAAAAAAAACCAATTCATACACTAAAAGTCAAATACCTACTATATTTTAATTTTAGTACAAAAAATATTTTTGTCATGGTTTGTGTTTGTTTAGTGTATATAGAAATGATTGCATAATAACTCCAAAATAAATTCTTAGTATTTTATATTGTGTGTGTGTGTAAGGTGGGGGGGTGTATGGTGGGGAGTGTGTGTATGGTGGGGGGTGTATGGTGTGGTGTGTGTATGGTGGGGGGTATACGTGTGTATGGTGGGGGTGTATGGGTTAGAAGGGGTGAGGGTGTGTGGTGAGTGTGTATGGTGGGGGTGGGGAGAGGTTGTGAGCAGGGTGGCTGTGTGTGGAGGGTCATAGGGTATGTTGGGGGGTTGTGGGGCATTTGTGGGGTGTGGGCGTGTGGCTCTGGAACACACCGTCCTCTCCTGCAGTCAACGCAGGCAGGCAACACTGTGGTGTGGGTGTGTCGCGTTTGTGGGGTGTAAGGGAGGGTGGGAGGGGTGTGTCCTAGTCATTTGCACCCATGGATAAATGCACACATTTTTTAGAGGCAATGCTAATCTCAAGGCATCCTTTTGCACTGTCCAGACATTACTAGAGCGGCCCCTAACACAGAGGAATTCAAATGTGTATGCAAAGTATAGGGGGAAAGGACCTAATAAATCTTCTTATTTAACTCCTTTGCCAATGCAGAATTGTTTGCTAGGATATTGCATTTGCTCCCCATCCAGTAGTGTAAGGATGTGTGGGTGAGGGGCACATGCCCTGGGCACTGCCTAAGAAAGGGGTGTCAAATGGAGTGGGGGCTTCTCCCTTCCATCCCCTGCTGCCCTTTCCAGCTCCACTCCCAGCTCCAATCAGTGGTGGTGTATCAGTGAGTGAGGAGCATTGTGGGGACGGTAGTACTGTCAGGTGGCAGCAGGCACCCCATTTTTTGCCACCAAGACCTGGAGTAGTTTTGCCTCTTCAATATGGGCATCTACAGCAAAAAAAAGATGTAACATCTCTTCCTGAGCAGCCAGCAACTCTACATGTGGCTTGGAGCTGCCTGCTGCCAGAGCCAGAGGCCTGAATGAAGGTCCAGAGGTAAGGTGGAGCGGGGGGGACTGCCCCGGACACAGTCCTGGCCAGTTATGCTTCTGTCCCCATCTTAAACACTGGGAAATGTTATGACACAGCTGTTTTTTTTTATAGAAATCTTTGTTTATTGTGTTTTATTGTTCAGTCTAATTTTTAATAGCCTACTTGAGATGAAGTCTTCCTACCCCCCTACATCACAAACCACTATTAACCACTTCCTGTACAAACAGATTCTTTATACATTTTAGCTGATAGGGGAAAAGAGGCCAGATCCCCAGCTGCTGTATAAAATGTTGTTCTATTAATTTCATTTACATCAGTCAAGGATTATGCCACAATGTACGATTCAGATTCACAGACGTGTAGGGCTGGAAGGGATCTCGTCAGATCACCGGGTCCAGCCCCCCTGCTCCGGGCAGGGAAGACTGCTGGGGTCAAATAATGCCAGCATGGCATGCGGCCAGTCTCCTTTTGAAGATATCCAGGGTAGGTGCCTGCACCAGCCCCGCTGGGAGTCTAGTCCTGAGTCTGGTCACATGAACTGTGAAGTTTTTCCTTATATCCAGTGTGAAACCTTCTTCTAGGAGCTTATGACTGTTGCTCCTGGTTTTGCCCTGGGGCACTTTGGTGAATAGTTGTTCGCCTAGCCCCTGATATATTTGGAAGGTGCCACCAAATCCCCCAAAGTCTTTTCTTTTCTAGGCTGAACAGTCCCATATCTGTCAGCTTGTCCTTGTATGGCTTGCTCTTCAGGCCTCTAATTGTACAAGTGGCTCATCTCTGGTCTTTCTCAAGCTTCTCCACATCCTTCTTGAAGCGTGGCGGGTAGAGCAGGAGAATAACTTCATTAGTTTTGCTTGAGATGCATTGGTTGATGCATGCCAATGTATCGTTTGCTCTGCTAACTGTAGCATCACACTGGAGGCTCATTCATATGGTCAGTTATGACCTCCAGGTACCCCAGATGATAATGAATCTGTATCAGTTCTACTCCTCGTTTTAAAATCTACACTGAGCAGATGTACCAGACTCTGCTAACTGTAGCATCACACTAGTGGCTCATAGTCATATGGTCAATTATGACCCCGAGGTACCCCAGGCGATAATGCATCTGTATCATGTCTACTCTTCTTTTTAAAATCTACATTGAGCAGATGTACCAGACTCAAAATGGCATCCTGAAAGCAAAAGAACCGGATGGATTAAGGCGGCCAGAGGAGTATGTTTAATCAGAAGCCACCAGAAAGGTGACTGGATTTGTAACTAATCAGATAAATGTATATCCCATGTAGATTTAAAAGAAAAACGAAAGATAAAACATGCTGGACTTCCAGATTACTTGGATTCATCTTGCATACAGGGAATTACTGTGAAGATGAAGCGGCTTCAAACAAACAGAATGGGTAAAAATGTTACAGTTGCCTGATGAGAAATGTGGGGGGAAAAAATATACCTGGATGCAGCTCACAAAGGTCACTTTTCACCATCTCGTACTCTGTGCATCTCCATTACTGGTAATCCCCTACAGCGTTAAGTAACTTAACTTAGATGTAAACCACAAGCCCACAGCAGTCATGTCCGTGTTCCTGCTTTGGTCTTAAAAGAATACATCACCGAACACTAAGCGAGCCTCCAGTTGCTGGCATATAGCACTAGCACAGAAAATAAATGCAGCTCTTTAGGAAAGATGTATTTCAGCCAATGGGTCCACTCTATGGAGATAGAGGGTAGATCTGCAACTAAACACTGCCTTCTGATGTGGGCTTAAACTGGTTGGTAAAAGGTCACTAACATCCAAGGGACAAGTTTGAATGATAGTTGAAGGGGTGTGCTATGCTACTGAAAGCCCGTTTGGCCATCAGACTAGTTCTAGTTGGTTAAAAGAGCACAACCAAAATGATAAACCTCCTTTTATACTCGCAATACATTTTCTTTCAGCTGCTCTAGTTTTAACTCATGCTTCTGGCGACGTCTCTCATTTTCTCCTCTGGAGAGGGCTGTCTTTTAGTGACGGCTGCCCGCGAGTGTGTTAGAAGATAATGACCACACCAGATAAGCTTGCATTTCTTCCATCAAGCAGGAGTTCCCTGCACCCATCACACCGCCTCTCCATCAGTATCGCTGTCTGTTAGTGTCTTTTAACACTCAGTAACACAAATTGAAGCTGAAGCTTACAGAATTTCTTACAAGCTCTTATTCATAATTGTTGCGGTACTCTAAACTGAAAAAAACAAATGGCCATTTTCCTCTAGTACATGCTAATGGTGACATCTATAACACTTTACCAGTACACCATCCTCTCTGATTTACGTGCCATTGCGACTTGTATGCCCTATGGCAGAAAAAAATCTTTGTGGGCTAACCTGGGCCAACTTAGCCATTGAGAAAGCATCTTCCATGACTTCAGCAAGATGTCCCACACTGTTTAAAGTATAGGAAAATGGGAGGTAAAAAAATATAGTGCAGGTCTGAATCCGAAACATTCCCATATTTCGCAACTCATTGAAACCCAGATCTGAAACTTTTCTCTTGATAACTTCAGCCCTAGCACTAGCAGGCTGAGCAAGTGAAAACAGACAAAGAGTAAGACAATTCAGGACATGGTTGGCACAGGCCTGCCCTCCATCAGTCTCTGGCCTCTGTTATCGACTGGCAGTTGGGCCTGTCAGTAGCTGGTTGAGTTTAAAGCAGCTTTCAAGAAGCATCAAAATGTTTTGAAGGTCTGGCCTAACCCCAAAATCAGAGGAACAAAAAGTAGGTTTGAACCCAGCATTGCAATGTCCCTGCCACTGCACATCTCAGAGTGACCTTGCACCTGTTTGTTGAAATGCAGCTTACACTACTGTCCACACTGGCTCTGGATTCGGTCTGAGGGTTAACACTACTTCCTCTCGCTTTTAACCTGGGAAACCAAGAAGGGAGTGGGCAAAGCTTTGCTCGCTGCTGGCTAAGCAGGAATGCAGTCTAAATCAAAGCCGTAAAGAACAGTGCAGTCATTGATCTTTCAAGAGTGGCTTGTGCCATCAAAGTGTTGTACAGCAGGGCAACACATTCCCCTTGATTGAGTGCCTAGGCTGAGCTCTGAGTCAAGTGGCCCCTCTTCCAAGGCAGAAGTGGAAGACCAGCTGCACAGAGCCACCCCCCGGGGGCTGATTCATTCCCCTGAATGTGTGCCATTTTCTCATAATCACAGATGCCAGAAAAATAAGCAGAGGTTGATTGATTGATTTGCGACAAAAGTGCCCTGAAATGCAATGGGGGGAGATTTTGGCTTTGCCATTTGATCCAGTGCACCACTCCTCAGTCATAGTAAATCCTGGGGGGTTTTTTAAGCAAAAGGATAGTAACTGCACTGGATAAACAACGTGAAAGGCCAGAAGACACAGCTAACCATATGTTTCCGCAGTATCCAGTTAAGCAATAGGATCTTACCTTAATCACATCTTCATCAGATGACCTGCACTCCACAGACTCTACAAGATCAGTCACAGTCCCGTCGTCCTCCACGGAGACCACCTTCACAGGGACGGCCACGGTTTTCCCAGTGAGGATTGCTGTATTCAGGATCTCTGCTTCCTGAAAGACCAAACAGGACCTCGGTTTACAAACTTTGTTCTCACTTCATCAAACACCCACTCTCTTCTCCTTGGTCTGTCTTTAGAAGAACGAAGCTTGTGTCCATTTCCAAACAACGGTGCGAGAATTGCTGGCACAGCAGTAAGGAGAAATGCACAGGCACGCTCACCAAATGGAAGATAACACTTGAGCAGGAAATTTGCATCTCACTGAAATCAAAGGCAAAACCCCCATTGATTTAAATGAGACAGGATTTCACCCTGGGTTTTCAGTTATGGGTTACATCTCTTTATAGTACAGAGAGCACCCGCTCTGAGCACTGTAGCAACATCCCATTACAGTGATATGAGCAAGGTGTCAGGTTTGAAACCTTTACTGCGGGACACCAACAAGCCTGACTGTGAAGTCTGATGGGATAGAAAACCCCAACTCTCTCCCTTGCAGGGGAAGAGGATGAGAAGCAGACTTCCTCTGGTTAGATTAGTAAGAGAGGGTCTAGTCTGAACGGGATACGTGCTAGATACCACCACCCACAGAAGCAGTCTCTGCTGCTACTATTCATTGCTGTCATTGCTGCTTGTTATTCAAGCCTGTAGCAATGGATAGAGACAGTCCCTGCCCCGGTGAACTTACACATTGCACAGACAGGATGGACAAAGGGAAGAGAGGCATTGGGAAGGTAAAGGGCTTGCTCAAGAATACACGGAGGTCCCATAACAGAGCTCAGAATAGCATCTTCTAATGGGGGACTGGCTCTATCCATTGGCTTAAGCTGCCCCTCACGTTTCCACGGGAGTGCTGTGGAAACATCAGATCTACCTATGATGCTGCACAATAAACCCCCATTTGATTTTGAGTATGAACTCTCTTCTTGCTGCCAGGTGCCTCCCTTACTCTGGCTGCTGTTTGGTGAATAGCAATGGTCTCCTCCCTAAGCCACAGAGTCAGGCTCCTTCTTTCTTGTTTTCTCTCTGGCTCCGTGACTTCTGCATGGGGATGAGGGTCCATATTATAATAGGCAGGAAGTCTCCATTTCCACTGCTCTGAAACTGGTTACATCCTTGGAGAGTGAGTTTAAAAGTGCTGTTGTTATGATCTGATGCAAATGGCTCCATGGGGCAGGGCTATAGAGAATCCAACTCATGGGTGCCACCTTTAAAATGAAGGAAGGTGCTTTGGGATCTATCCTGACCCTGCAGGTGACCTTGGCATCTCTATGGGTCTGGCTGCCCCATCTACATAATGAAGAAAATACAGAAACATCATCCCTCAGGAAGGGAAAGCTCTCTGGAAAGCCTTGGAGTTCCTAGGATGAGAACAGCTCTATAAAATTACAACAGTATTGTTTCTAATTAGGGCCATATCTAATCCCAACAGCATGCTACCCATTCGATGTATTCCTTACACACTCTTAGAGGAGCTTTGGTAGTACACACAGATTCAGACCCATAGGACACAACCGTACTCTCAGTGTCTTTTTTCCAAGGGAAACAGAAGACACAACTTGGCTCCTGCTTTCTTCCCATTCCTAATTGCAAGATGCGACTCATTCCTGGAAAGCTTTTGAAGCTTTTCCAAACCAAGCCTCTAAATCAAGAAACACCCCATAGAACAAGAGACTCTGGACTTCATCTGGTTCAGATGAAATATAGTCTTCCAAACACCCCCGTTGCTCACTTCTCGTTATCTAAATAGCACCTGCTATCAGTTCTGAGCCTGACCTGATTTCTCTTGTGGCAGGAGACAAAGGAAGAGACTGAAACCAAGTACGCAGAAGAAGATGACTCTCCCTTCTGTCTCTTGGGCTAGAGAAGAGACGCACGTCTTTCTCTTATCTAAAGGACCTGGATCAAAAAAACTCCCTTCACACTTCTTAAAGGAACACAGGCACCTTCTTCTGGCTTAAAGCAATATCTAAAAAAAGAAAAGTATCTCCTATTGATACAGCCACCTTGCTGGAGTTGTCCCACCCCTGCCATGCTCTTTAGGGGAAGGAAAAACAGAATTTTACAGAAAGACACCTGAAGAAGAAAGGTCCCTCTTTCCCCCATCCAGCCCTCCAGCGAATCAGAAATCACAATGCACACAAAGATGCATGATTCTGGGAATAGCCAGCCCGCGTGAGGCCCATCTGTCCTAGGCACACGCTTGCTCTCAGAACTGGTTAGACTATTCTGGCAACTGGGATACTGGGACAGATGGCAACCACATTTCCAGATGTGTTAATGTATTGTCTGGTGTTGTTTTGCTTGTCTGAATTTAAATCCGAAGCCTTTTGGGCAAGCCCTAGAGTGTCATGCAAGATCTTGCTGAAAGTCTGCACGGGGAAGGAGAGGCATGAGAATGAGCCCTTCAAATGATCTAACAAAATGGGGTGCCCGAGAGAAAAGCAGCCACCAGCTTTACCAGCAAGCAGTGAGCCTCACGCGTTCATTTTGAGTTAGAAATGTATAAGAATCATTAACAAGCCCCATCCGACTCTCTCTGGACTTGGACTAGTATGACAACAGACTGTCAGAAGATTTCTGATGCCTCCTACTCTCACTAGGGCTACAAATACACCAGATAAGGCCACTCTGACCTTTTTCATCACTGGCTGCAGATGAGCATAGGATCATTAAGATTAACTTTGCTCACTCTATTTTTTTTTTTTTTTGATCTAATAAAATGTTAACTTGGATTATTATTATGTACTGTTTGAATTACAGTAGAACCCAAAGATCATCATCTGGATCAAAGTCCCTTTGTCCCAGGTATTATAGAAACAAAGGTAGACTCAGCCCCCTGCCTCAAGAGTTTGCAGTATAAGAACACAACCCAGGAAACAACAATACATGTGCTTAACTTTATGCGAACACATTCATGCATCCTGTAACAGGATGCTGGAAGGCTCCTGTTACTTTAGGAGGAAAGAGTACCAGGCTGAGCTGAACCAGGGAGGCCTGGTAGCTAGGAAAATAGCTAGCTGCTAATGAAATAGCCACCAGCAGACAGACCAGGGTGCAAACCACTTTCTCATAGCTAGCCTCTCCCTGTAACTCACCCTGGGGAGGGAGGCAGAGCAGTAAAATGCAGCAAGGGTAGTTAGGGACTCAGCCCGGAAACAAGGAGCAGCAGACGGATGAGCTCAGTTCTAGCAGGGAGAGCAGGCAGGTCATTGTGCACAGACGGGAAACTCCTGTGAGTGCCCACAGAGCCACATGACTGGATGGGGTGGGGCTTCGGAGACTCATAAACGGGGTTCCTGGTTTTCCCTGATAAAAACTCACAAATTCTCTGAAAAAATTGCAAATTCTCTGATGAAAATCCCCAAATCCATGATTAAAATAAAAGGCTCCCCACAGCCCTGCTGGTGCTCCTCACCCCCATCCCCCACACAGCCCCTTGTCCCCCCCAGCTCTGCCAGAGGGGTCCCCAGGTGCCAGGGTCCCAGGTCCGCAGCCCCCTGCCCCTGGCAGGAGGCTGAGGCTGCTGCAGCTGAGCCGAGCTTGGCTCCCCCCTGCTGCCTGCTGTGGGCTCAGGCAGAGGAAGCTGGCTCCCCACTGCTGCACACACTCCCCAAGGCCCAGGGGGGGCTTGTGTCCCCCAGATCTGAGAGTGAGGTGAGCTGTATGCTTGGGGCGGGGGGAAGCTCCTTGGCACTGCATGCACTCCCAGGGAGCAAGGGGGAGCCAGGCCCCCCAGATCTGTGCATGGGGCAGGCTGTGGGCTCAGGCTTCCACCCTGCTGCCCACCCGTAGGGCCCCCGCAGCCCAGCAGGTGCAACCGAGCACGGCAGGGAATAGCAGGGCCACGTAAGAAGCTGCTTGTCGCTGTGAGCCCCGGACTGCTCTGGCAATGTGCCCCCTATGTGTGTGGCTGCAGTGAAAGCAGCGGCACAGGGTCTGCCAGCCTGCAGAGAGCCCACTGCAAAACTGCAAAATCTGTGGGCTTCTCCAGTAAAATGAGAAATCGGAGTTTGCCTCCAGTAAAATGTAATATCCGTGGTATACTCCATTTCCCAGTGGGAAATGGAAACCCCGGATCCCTGCTCATAAAGCCTGGGGCTGAGAGCAGGCAGCCAGTCTGCCCATGCTAGCCACAGAGTGGAGAGCTCCTGCCCTGGAAAGTGGCAGTGGGAGACTCTGCTGACTCCCGGACTGTCTGACAATGCCAGCAAGACCCTGAATGCTTCCGGCAGCTTGGTTGGGACTAGAAAGGGGTGGTTCAGAGGTCCCATGAGTGCCCAAGGGGCATGTGACTGACTTGAACCCTGCCAGGGTCAGGCTCAAGGCACAGATAGGGACCAGGAAGCAAACTCTTTTATAAAAGAATTAAGCCTAGAATGTGTAAAAACCACTAATGTTCTAAAGTAGGATCATGATTTCCTATCAGCAAGTGTCAAATCACCTGAACTAGTCAGAGGAGACAAATCCATCTGCCACTTCTGGAGACTACACAGCAATACTCTTTAGAAGCTACACAGCAGCCAAAAGCAGTTCTTTCTCCACGGTTTTCAGAAATTCCACCTGTGCACACTTGGAGGACTACTTCTTTAGACACCTGGTCTGCATTTCTCATTTGAATGGAGAAGTGTAACAAGCATCTACTCCAATCTAAACAGCAGGGTCCATGACAAATGCTGCTTCAGTCATTTGTTTAATGGCTAGAAAGGGCTTAATGTTCCCATGGTGAAAGTACATAAAAAATGACTTAATTCCAAGGAAACAAACATGATACTTATTTAGCCTATACAGAGATTTATAGTTCAAATTCTCAGCATGTAAGAGCTATAAATCTAAATACTTAGTAATTTAAAAGTGTTACTTTCTGCTCTTTAAATGATACTGGAATCTTTAGGAGAATTATTACGTTCTTTGTCCATAACTAACAAAGATTATAGGACACATGATGCCAGGGGAATACAAGACGGAGTACTTATGGGCCTTGCAAGGCTATAGCCTAGTATTCTGTCTACTAAAAGTTGATTCGTGGAATAGCTGTAATTAGATGCTGGGTTC